GGGGGGGGTCCCGCTAAGCTTCTAATCCACGGACCGGCAGCATTTTGGGGGGATGGCCACCCCTGCGGGATCTCACTGGAAAGAGTGTGCAACAGTTTCTGCAAAGGAAAGAAGTGCCTTATCCACAGCATATAAATAACCTACTATCCCCACAAATATGAAAGCAGGGGAATATCTGAAAAGTATTTCCATTTCTTTGCAAAACAGGTTCTAGCCCTTATAGCAATGGAAAGGCCGACAGCTGGAAGTGTGGTATAGCTGATCCTTATGGATCTTTGCCTTTGTTCTGTGACCAGGAGACACAGGAAAGATGACAGAAAATAAATCAAGCGATGCAAAGTTGTTTTGTTGGAAAATAAAGATCATAGGATTTAACTCCTCACGGCAATGATTTTAGATTTATTTTTAGTGAACTTAGGAAATACTGTATTACTGCACCCCCCGTTCCACACTGGGAGGAGGGAGAGATATCAAGTTCATACTAACGCTAAGTCAGAGCCAAGCAAATCATGGTTTGGATCTCTGAGTCCAACTAATTATTCAGTCCTTGTGCCACAACTGCATTTTGATGACAACTGGAGTTAGTGCAACAAATTAGTTTACATTGCCATATAAGTATAATATTCTGGATGGGTTTGTACACTGTGCGTGTACTTAGTCAACTGTGGCTTATCCAACGAACCATAGATGAATGCGCAATGGATTAGGCACTGTAGTCTGTATGCTTCTGAATCCAGCATAATTCAGGTAGTAAGCAGCCTTTTCATTTCTTCCTATAAAGTTCTTTGTCAACCTGGGACTTCATAATATTTCAGCATTTGTTGTATTACTGCCTTTTTTTCCTTTTTCCTTTAGATAGGTCTGCTGTTGGAATAGAATTTAAATTCAGGTGGCAAAAATAGTAAATGGAGACAGGATCCCATTAGGCTGAGAAGTTTTCTGATTTTTCAAAAAACACATTTTAATGCAATTTTTAAAAAATTAAAACCTTGTTGCCAGAAGATGCCTTACTGTAAATGCCACAAATTTGTTTTCATAAAAGTCTTTGTAATTACACATTTGGGGTATTTGATAAAAGTCTTCTATATTGTGTAATCAATCTTTTCAATACATCAAGGTGTTTCTGACTTCCATATTGAGTTTTTAAGAGTACAATACATCCTATTGACTCTGAAAAACTTAGTGTAGAAATCATCAAAATCTTACTGATAAGGTACCATTTCCTTTAAGTTGTTCCTTTGCAAACATCAATATTAACAGCATCTGCTGCTTCTGTTTTTGTGCCAGTTAGGAGCTGGACTCAGCATTTCCAAGAAAGCCTTAGGAGAACTACGTGACCCACTAATACAGGAAAAGACCACACTCTGATGCCTGGGACCATACTCAATATTTTGTATGGGCCAAGGAACACAGCAGATAAAACAAGGATGAAAAGTATCCAAGCCAAATACGGGCACACATGGGTGAGGTTGAAATTTTCCACTTTAGGGTTTACACACATTATTCCATCCAGATGTATCTTCCATCTCTAAGAGATGGGAAACAGAGCCTCTGCTATTTAGCAGGCATTGTCTGAAATAAACAGGGACTCAAAAATATTAACTTGGGGTTTCAGGTTGCCCACACGTTCTCAACCGCATAGTATAACAGTAACATCTCTTTACCACAACAGTGAAAATTACGGTAAAAATGCCCATTTCTGCATAGTATGAAAAAACTATAATCTTCAGCTCCCATCAGGTCAGAATTTTCCTCTCTTTTTCTAGTGAAAAGCCATTTAAGGTGGTTGAACTAAGCACAATCTGATCAATAGAAACAAGAAAGGAGTGAAGGATTAACAGTTAGCACTGGGAGCCCAAAGGAACTAAGCTGAAATAGCTATTTTAGACACCAAGCTCTTTTATTTAATCCAAAGGATCCATTTTATAGGAGAGGTATGACTTCATCCTATCCATCCCTTATAATAAATTTCAATACACATATGAATTAGCCTAATCAGCAAGGTTAACCTTATCAATCACATTGACTGCTATAGCCTATTGCATAACTCATGAGTATCTGTGATTGCACTGTAAGCTACCGAATAAAAGAGTGATTTGCATGCATCTATAAAGATGGCTTGTAATCCCACCTCTTCTTTAAGCTTCTTCTCTTCCACCTCTAGTCCCAATTCTATCAATAAACCAATTCATGCTTCAATGTAATTGTATCTGATCTCCAGTTCAGAAGTGCCCTTGGGAAAACTCAGTGTACTCACATGTATTTTTCATGCATGTCATAGCTGAAGAACACAGTTCAACAAGGCAAACAGCTGGCTGGCCTTTCTCCATGGGTGGGACAGTCAAAATGGAAATCTGGAATGGAAACAAAACACTTCACCAGGGAACACCTCTCCCTCCTTTTTTAAAAAAAGAATTCTGCTAGTAACTTTTGCAAAAAAAAAAAAATCCTTCAAAACTATTAGCCTTTTCCCAGCATATATTTCCAAATTTTAAACCAGTATCTGTGCGAAACTGAACTTCCAAACCAGTTTGGGATGGGGGAGCGGGTACCTTACCTCTCTCTTTTTAACCTCTATGTAATATCATCATAAAATATAAATATAAAATATTTATAAAAATAAATATAGTAAATAAATATATTATATATTTATTATATAAACATAAATTTAAATGCAAATATATATTTAAATATATAAAATATAATAAATAAAAGATAAAGATAAAAGATAAATATAAAATAATACTTCTCTCTTTTTTTTAACCTCTGTGTAATACAGTACTGCCATACTGCCATGCATGACGCTCTTCAGATCATTTGATTCAAGGGAATGGCAGGGATTAGGAGAACTTAATTTCAGCAACACCCTCTTCCATTACTGAGATTTCCATGTGACATTTTTACAATTGGCATGGTGAAAAATATCACCCGCTATGGATTTGTAAGAAAGCCAGGAAGAAATTCTTTCTTCAACTTGCATCACCTTCAAATCCCACCACCTGGTCTTCTAAGTTCTATGTGCAATTTTTTTTTCATCCACTGAGATCTATGACTAACTTTTCTGATTTCAGTCGGACCAAATGTATGGCTACCTGAATGAGAATCTATCCCTCCTTTTAACAAACATTTCATGGATCAAGCATTTACTAATATTTCCAAAATCTGAGTTCTAGAACGTAAGGCCTTCCCTATTAACTAGCAAGGAATCCAAAGGTGGAAAAGCCAAGTCTATTTTTACAAACCAGTGTAAATATCGAGACAAAATTAATCCAGAACAGTAGATGTGTATGAGGAAGGGGGAAATGAGTTTTTGCTGGTGGGCTCACCTGCTGATCAGAGCTCTCATTCTGTATGGATCGATCAGTTATGAGAACGGCTCTGGAGATCTGCCTGCCGGCGAATAAGCAAAACTCTATCATCAAGCATAATAAAAAAGAGCCATATGGATCTACGCTTTGTTTTCATCAAAAACAGCACAAATTGCCCCAATGAAAGTAATGTTCTACACTCAGTAATCTGAACGTGTTTAATGACATTTTCACATATGGCCTGCTTCGTTAAGAAATTAATAATGACTCAAATCAGGCATATATAAAGGTTACAGCTCTTGCTTAACAGCCATCAAAATATAACGAAGATATTGAGGACTCCATATGGAATGTGATGCTTAGCCATCATGAAGCCATTTGAAATGGCAAATTATTTCACAGAGTGCTAATATGCAAACATTTACCAACAGTTAATATGCACAGTCATTCAAACGCTAGAATCCAAACGCCAAGCAACAAGTTGTCATACGTGCCTATGATTAAAGCTCCCTTAAAGCTCCCAACCACCTTCTCCTGCTTTGTGCAAACCACTTTGGGAACTAAAGGGACAATCAAGAATGCTGTGCAGCAGGAAATGTTGTATAAGAAGCCCCAGGGTTGTGGTGAGCAAGCTAGCGCCTTCCAGATGGTTGGACTACCCTTGTCAATGACCAGAGAGGGCACCAGGGTTACCTCCTTGGGCTCCAGAGCTATTTTATTACCTGAGTTTGCCAGAAAGAGCTGTTTGGATTTCAACCACCACCAACATGAAAACAGTATGCTACTTTATTATGGTTGTTCTTGGACTGCCTTCCAGCTAGAAATTTGTTTTCAGAGCACTGTAGAACATTATTTTAAAAGAACCTGTGTTCAAGGATGATTTGCAATTGGTTTATTCTGGGGATCAAAGTTTTTAGCTTACACAAAGGCTCATCTTTATGTCACTGGCACCTGAACTCAATGTGTGAGTAAGGTGGGGAGAAAGATGAACTTCACAAGTTCTGCTATGGGGAGACACATTTTCTAAAATGAAAAGTGTAGTTTCTGATAAACAGAGTTATAAACATTACTTTGCCAGTGAAAAGTTCATGAGGGATGAAATTATTATTCATCTACCTGTGAGGGTTCTTTGCTTTCCAAGACTGGACATGCCACAGTGTAACAAATCTGTACACAACGCTTTATTGCAGCACGCACCTTCCCCAACAACAGGGTATTGCTCTAGGTCAACTCCACCCTTCTAGAACTTGCAAGTTGCTGTTGCCACATAAATACATCTTTAATACTCAGTCCTTTATACTCAAGTCTTCTAATGCTCCATTCAGACAAAAGTCTCAAAGTCTACAAAGTAGCATACAACCTTTGCCTTTTCCCAAAAGTTATTGAACTAGTTGGGATGAGGTACTTCCTCAATATGGTTGTTTCTTTTCTAGTTGCTGCCGAGCTCCCAGCAAAGCTCCAGGCAGGACTCCCACCAGGATATGCTGCTCACCATAACTTGTGGTCCTGACAGTTGACTGATAGTCCTCTTGCCTGCTTGTAATAGGTGCCAATCTTCAGACACCGCCTCCGCTTCCCCGTCTGTATCCTGATGGCTTATCACCTTTCCTCCTACACACACAGACCTCCCCACCCTGTCTTACATTTGCTTTTCTAAGCTAAGAGTCTGGGTGGGGTGAGGTTGCCTTTGGACTCTGGACGTAGGCATGTCCTTGAAAACGCCAGGGTGTGGCTCAATTGTCATGGCATGCCAGCTTGGATGCTTGTGGGTAAAGTTGTGAGTGAATGAATGAATGTATGAGCGAAATGGGGTGAGAAGCGTTTCTGCCTGCCTCCCAAGCACAGACAGCAACTCCAACTTTACTCCCTCACACTAACTTGGCCAATTGTCTCTCCTTGACAAGGAAAGACTATACAGATTTTTCAGATCAGGTATGGTTTTGCTAACTGGGTGAATCTGGGAACTTGATTTGTGTTTTTCAATCTCTGTTCCTCACTCAGAAGCTATTTATAGTCCATTTCTGATTGCTCTAGAGTTGACATGGATAGCAATTTGCTGATGTGTTGGTGATGTAAGACAGCACAGAACCCAATGAAAAACTGCAAGGAAAGGATGGTAGATAGGAAACCAGCATTTGGAAGGATGAGAAGTGCTCTCTTCCTACTTTATATATTCATCAATACTATAGAAAAAGATAAAGAACAGAGATCAAATGGTAGCTAACACTCAGAGAATATTTAAAATTTCTGGCAGTGTTCACTGTTGCCTCCTTTCCCAGCCTGACTCTTTAGTACTACTAGCTGAAGAACAGTGGTGGGAAGGAGCTACAGTTTTCTTATCCTGCTTATGGAACCAACGAGGAGCATCTAGCTGATTCTTGCAGGAAATAAGAAGCTGGACCTGATCAGCCTTTTAGGCTGATCCAGCAAAAATATCTTTATGATTCTCCTGATGTGGAAAGAAGCAATTGGAGATAATCACTCTTCTTTAAATAGCTTCACATATCATTTTGAAGACTAAAGAAGAGTGATTATCTCCAATTGCTTCTTTCCAGCTGAACTGATAACTTTCTATAAACAAAGATGGTGACCTAAGAGCAGAGGAAAAGGGGACAAATCCCTGTTCTGGTAACCTTGTTCCTGAAGCTTCCATCCTTCTGAGATGGAAAGGAAACTGGACCTAACAGGCTATTGGTATGATCCTCAAGAGTAGGATGACAGCTTTGTAATAAGCTTGAACAGCCATTAACTAGCTAATAATTGCCTCTGCAAAGGTTAATAGCCTAAATGAAGCACAGTCAGACAGGGGGTGGGAGAATGGGTGGGAAATGCAAGATGGTTCAATTGTGTGCACCTTAATAAATGTCTGAATTACTTTCCTGGATTGCACATCAGTTTTTTGTATCTTTGCTCACAGAGAATACCAATTTCATGCAATGTAAAGTCAGGTCATCAGGCCTCAAGATTATCACAATACTATGTTACACAAAGAGGGGACTGTCATCAGATTTTCTGGTCCTACCCCTTGGGGCAATAGAGAAAAAGTCCTCTCCTTGTTCTATATGACAACCCTTCAGATAGTTGCAGGTGGCTATAGCATTTCCTTTTAACCATCTTTTCTATACACTAAATGTACCAAGATCCTTTAACTGTTTCTCAGATGGCTTGGCTTCCAGACCTTTGACTATCTTGGTAGCTCCTCTTTGAACTTGCTTCAATCTGTCACTGTCATTTTTGAATTGTGGGGTCCAGAAATGTATTCCAAGTATGGTCTGACTGGAATAGAATAAAGTAGAACAACTACTTCCCACGATGAAGGAAAGAAGGATTACTGCTCCTTGCTGTTTCCCTTGACTGAAACCACACACACGTACATATCCAGCCACCTGCCTATCCACCCATCTGCATGGTAGGTCTATGCAGCACACTGGATTTGACCTTCCAAAAGGTGCTTCAGAGCACACAGGAGTGCAAATGTAGCATCAATAGGCAATACCTAAAAGCAGCTCTATCTTTTGTAGTCTTCCAATGCTACACATATGAAAGGTATCAAGTTAGGGAGACTGTTGTAAACACAATGCCACAGGTGCAGATGATCTCATAGAAAGGTACGGAACGTAAGCCGAATGAATATTTGCATATCTCTTTCTCCCCAACAGACTTACAGCACCCTTAGCAAACACATGAGATTTCAACTAGGGAAATGCAATATGAGAATTCAAACCATCCTACCCCTGTCCCCTTGTCATATCTATCTGGGCTCCAACCCTTTAAAGTCTCTGAGCAGGACAGTGTCCATTTCTGCATGCAAGCTTGACACTGAAGGAACAGGTGGGCCATCCATATGCAAGGAAGGGGAGATATTAGTTAATATTATAGCAGACTTTTTCTCATTTGCAAAGCAAAAGCTAATTTTGAACCTAGGGCATCCCAGGGCATAACATTGGCTGATTTCTAAAAGGGCTGATATGCTAAAAAGCAGCGCATGAGTAACAAGATGGGGGTGCAAAAGAAAATAGGTCTACACAGAATTTTTTTCTGGCCAGCCTGCACTAACTTCACAGTAATCCAGGCAGCCTGGTAAAAATGATAGTTGAGATTAAGATGGATACCCACCATCTTTGAGGTTCCCAAAAAAGAACATGAGGATACATGAAGTTAGAAGTGTACCTGAAATTAGGTCTGGCTGAATGCACTGAGTTTTACTTTTGAGTAAACATGCACTTTTAATTATTCTTGTCTTAATATTTACCTGTAAGATACATTTTTGCATATTTTTTCTGAAAGGTAGCTATCTTCCACAACAAAATAACTTGCATTTATTCTTTGGCCAAAATGATCGATGATTGCTTTACACCTGTTGGAAAAATAAGGGGGAAAAAGTTTAGAAAAGCAAAAGGATTTGTGCCATTGTTAGATAGATTTATGAATATAAAATATTTACAGACTAAAGATTACCTCCACCAACATGTTTTCTTTCATTTAAGTTTTTAGCATGAGTTAAGAGTTTTGTCTGCCTGCTTTTATGTCTACATTGTTTTAGTCTGCTCTTGGTTTTATTACATGAAATTCTGTTAACATGGATTATTTTCAATGTTGTTTACACAAAATTCTCCTTGTTTTTGTTTTTGTTTTAATTAATTCTACAAGGAAAAAGAAAGCTAGCAACATTTTATAATGATGGAGGAGGCTTTTAATATTCAACTATCTCTAGAACTTTTCCCAGAACACTATCCTCTTTAGGCTGTTATACTTTCTGTACCAGGGGAAATGTTTCCCCAGACTATATATAATCTATATAATCTGAATCAAGCTATCATCCTATATCTAGATATCTATCCCTCCCTCCTTCCCTCCCTCCCTCATTTTTAAGAATACTTTTGAGTTTTAAATGTCTTTACTAGACTTGGTCCATACAAGACACTAAGCTCTGGTCTCTTTAATTATAGTTAATTAAATGAATCACAATTGGCTAGACTTGTGTAACATCCTAAGATCTGAACCATAGTCCATCAACCATAGCTAGAATCTTTAGTCAAAACCATGCGAACCATATTTTAGCTAAATTCAGCCACAGAAAAACAAATGAGATACTCAATTGAACATCACAGCATTTCCATTCGGAGCCACTGCACTGTCCTCTCTTCTTCTCACCCAACAGAGCAGCATTCCAAGACCAGAGAGACCCCCACTTAGAGATTTCCCCCCCCATTTTTTTTTTAAAGAATGTCGGCAATCTTTCCTACCAATATCTCCCTTTTGTAAGATGGTGCTCTGTTGGTTATGTAAATAAGAGCAATCACAACTGAATATTCGACAGAGGAAATGATAAATTAATAACATGAACTGAATTAGCGAAACACACAGGAATTTATTCTGCTTGTGACAATTTACATGCCCCATTTGTTTTGCTATAAAGTTATTACATATTGCCAAAAATGCAAGCCAGAATGCTGGAGTCACCATTTACATCAAAATAAATTCTTTTCTACTGTTTATAAAACTATTTTTGTACATTCCTGCATGGGGAGAGGGGGGAAGGTAGATTGTATGTCATATTACAGGACCCCACAGAAAGAAAAATATAATTCTTTCTTTTCTTCTTGCTTCGTCATTCAACAGTGGCAAATGTCAGAGATTTGTTCAAGAGCAGAGAAAAAGAGCGCAACTTCCCTCTTAAAACCGATCTTTACTTTTAGTTTTAAAAAAGGAAGATCAGCAGAAGAATTCTTTCGAGTGCCATGCTCAAATAAGGAAGCCACTTTATACAATGACATTATCAGGTCTCTCTGTCATCTGATATCTGTTAAGACAATGAATCATACAGAACCCTCCATTGACCTTCTTCAATGTGTCTAGATAAAAGGATGAAAATTAGAATCCATCTCCTTGCCAAGTGCCACCAGTTATAAATGTACTTTATAGGGCTCATTATCCAAACTAATGGACTAGGGGCGACATCCTTGAAATGGACTTACCAGCACTGACAAAACCAGCAAGCAATAATTCAGGAAAGATATGTAAATTACAGTGTTTGCTATATTTTTTAATTATTATTGTGGAAATATAAATTTACATTTGTCACATCCTTTCGTTTGGAGGCCGGCAGTTTCCTTGGAAGCACACTCAGAACTTTGCTCAACGTAAAACGCGGAGGGTTATTTTTAACGCAGACCTCAAAATACACACATACAAATTAAAACACTTTAAATCTTATTGAAATGAAACCCCATAAACAACTTCTATGTACCATAAAGGAACTGAGAAGTTGAATTAAAAGGGGAAAGGAAGCTAAGTGGGAGGGAAATGCAATATTCAGCCTTCTAAAGGCAAAAAACGGGGGGGAAAATCACTTCCAAACAGGCAACAAATTTGATTGGCCTTCAGTTCCATTAGCAGAAATACATTTCTTGGTTTAATTAGGATTCACTACAGATCTAAAGTAGTTATTCCCCCACTCCTTCTCTTCAGCATTCTTTTAAGATATATAATCAACATCCACACTTCTGGGGACACAAGCCTTATCTGCAGTGATTGAGACTTAAATCTTGGAAGGACAAATGTAAGTTTGGGGGTGGCCAAGCTTATTAATCCAATTGCATGACCTTGGTTCAAGCATTCCTTAGGACCATGAGACCTGCCAAAAACTGAAAGCTGCATGATACAAAGTGGACTATTTGTTCATGGAGCTCTGTGAGCCAGAAGCAACTTCCTAGATCTCCTTGGACAGCTTGGGATTGCACTGGGGCCTTTGGGAAAGCAAAGCCCTAGTCATGTTTTGAGCCCTAATATGCTATCCCCCAATACATTTGAGGGGAAGCATTTGGCCTTTACAGATTTGCTCCTGCTGTTTGTTTTGAGAGAGAGAGAGAGAGAGAGAGAGAGAGAGAGAGAGAGACTTTTTTTCTTGCCTTTTTGCATTAAAGCCATATAATGTGTTTCAAATAAAGGAGCTATGATGATTTCTTAAGCAAGTAATTCCACCACTTCAATGGATTTCAGCTCCAGTGATTTAATAGCAAAGAAGCTCCAGATCTGCACGTACCTTATATTTTGTGACAAGAACATTAATATCAAGCATTCCTATTACCAGTCCTACAGCACCCAGGCAACAAACAGAAGCAATGTTTGAGAACAATGAACCTTCCAATGAAGGAATGGAATCATCAGTCATATGAGTTCCAACTTTCAAGAGGGGATTGCCATAAGAACATACAGAGGGCCCTGATGGATCAAGTCAAAGGTCCGTCTGGTTCCAAATTCTGTCTCTGGGAAGTGTACAACGAGGACATGAGAACAGTGGCATCTTCCTGCTCGTGTTTCTGGTGGCAAAAATGTGGCTTATTTGATTTTGGCTTAGTACATGTCTGGTGAATTCAGTTGCTGTGGTTTGTACTTCATGGCTTACAGATTGTTGTGGCTAAGCGAAAAACTGAATTTGCATAATATAGGAACTCAGTCCACCTCTGATGGTAGCAAATTTAACATGTTGACTATATTCTGTGTAAGGAAGTTCTTTGGCTTATCTTTCCTGAATCCTCCCCTCAACTTAACTGCATTATCCCAGATTCTGCTGATGTAATGGAGTGTATATAATTTTATAAGCCTATATTATATCCTCCCTTAGCTAGCTGAATTGCCCCAAACTTTGTCACATTTCCTTGAAAGAGAGTTACCCTAGCTTCTTGATCATTCCATCCACCCTTTTTAAAAACTCTACAATATCCCCTTTTTTCCACAGATGCTGAGTGAACTGCACAAAGCATTCCAAATGTAATTGCTCAACAAAGTTACAGGAAAAAAAATGGCAATTTTAATTCCAGCATTACATTTATTTTTATCACAGCAATTTGGACTCTGACATGCCTTTTTTTATTGATTATCCATACAACCCTAACATTTTTTTTCCCCAGATGGGAACATCCCAAACTTTTCTGATTATTATTAGAGGGGGGGAAAAACCTTACAAAGATAAAGCCTCCCTCGAGTCAAGTTTGACTCTTGGCAATTTCATGGACACATCTGTGCAGTTTTCATGGCAACAGTATGGAAGTGGTTTGCCATTGTCAACATTTTGGTTCAGATCTCAACTTCTGGGTCCGGGGGAAAAGTACAATCCACAAAGTAGGTTAAGGACAGTTGGGTCTATGTTAGAGCTTTTTGTACATTGGTTGGCATGGGGCTAATGTGGTTCTCCCTTATTTTTCTGGTGGTTTGGGGCAACTCAGCTTAAGAAAAAGAGTAGCTAAGGAAGGATATAATATAGGCTTATAAAAATATATACACTCCATTACATCAGCAGAATCTGGGACAATACAATTAAGTTGACGGGAGGATTCAGGAACGGTAAACAGATTTATTTATCTGCCTGCCTTCTTATCAAATGCTGGGTTCATGCATTGTGCTAAGCCATCATGTGATTTATTTACTTACCACTTAGTGCTATCTGTGAAGTCAGTCACTGTGGCCTGTAAACCACAGTTTACAGTATTTCGTTTAGTATTTTATGTGATCCCAGCCACTCTCTTAATTTCTTTGACTCTTTAAGGGCCACCTTTTCTTGGAGGCCTCACCATTCCCTCCACAACTGGCAAAAAGAGCTCACCAAAGATATACTGCTGGCAGGTTTATAGTGCCAGCTAGACTGGAAAGGATCTTTGGCAACTAAGGCAGAGAACCTCACAGGCACCTTCCCCAGCAGTAAAACTACAACAGCAACAAACAGTTTGCTATCACTTTATGAACTGAAGAGCACTTGCCATCTCACCCAATCCGACAAAGGAGAAGGTTGGCAAAGAAGATAGTCTTCTGACAGTGCCCACAATATATTGAGTGGGACACCGACTATGGAGAGAAAAATGCCAGGGAGCTAGTTTATGCTTTTGGACCACGATGTTTTGGATATTGACGAAAAGCAGGTTTGGATGTTTTTTTCTGGATGAACTGTAGCATAAAAGCACTGTCATTTGGATCAGCTAAAATATGAGAAAGTAACAGGAAAGCTTTCCAAGGTTTATAAGCAACCCAAGCATTTAAACACTGGAGGTTCAGTTATCATACAACAAGGAGGGTTATTGATCATCTATCCTGAAGACATTTTAATTGGGCTGAATATAAAAACACTGGATTGATACGGCTTCTGGATTTATCCTAAGGGACCAGCTTAAACACTCCCTGCAAAATGTATTTATTGATATCCAAATTATTAAAGTATTTATAGAGCATACACCCATACATACTTACAGATAATGCTTTATAAGTAAAAGTTGCTACACACTCTGAGATGTGACAGATGATAAATCTAATTATATTAACTGCATGATCTACAAAAGGAACTTTTCTCAGCTATCTCATTTGCCTGGAAAAGGCTGTGTTGTTTGTAGTATCTTTATTACTACCAAGACTCAAGATGGCATGGCTTTAGGGCTGTGTTCTTTCAACACACTAAGCCTCCACTGCGTAATATTGATTTGTTTACCCTATTTACATCTACTGTGATTGCAAGACTCTTGTAATTTTAAGCAATCTGAGCATTTAAATAAATATATGCAATTCTAAAACCATAAAACCAAAACCTTCATAAAAGCAGGATACCTGGGTATCATTTCACTTGCCATAGGCTAGCGTTTCTCAATCTTGGCCACTTGAAGATGTGCGGACTTCAACTTCCAGAATTCCCCAGCCAGCCATGC